AAGTCTAGAACGAATTACCGTCACATGTGTTTGACTAATTTTTTTTCTAGGGTTTTTCAGTTAACTTCTATTTCTATTTTTATTTTTTATATTTTATTAGTTTTATTTTTAAAAATTATTACCATATTATTATTTTATGGATTTTTTATAAGAAATTATTATATGAATATTAAATTATTAATTCTTAAGTTATATAAGTATAGATAATAGATCAACTAGAAAAATCAAGTAAATAAGTTGGATAAACAATTACAAAATACTATTTTTGTTATTGATACTTAAAGGTATACTTTTTTCATACTCACTATTCACTACTTACCTAAATTTCTAACCGTTTGGGTAATAGTATATAATGATTTAGCCCACTACTGGTAGTACTCATTTTGGCTCATTGAGTCTCATAGTTTTAAAATGCATCAATAAAAGTTAACATGCATTAACTTATATATCTAACATTACTCTAGTTGGAATGGAATCCACTTAGAGGTGTTACATACACCCCCTTTCAAGACTCAGTGTTCTTATTAAGACTTGCCCAACATCATTTAAGAGGTCATGTGCATGTGGAATGATTTTGATATTATATGTAACGATTTAGCCCACTATTAATGGTATGCACTTCAACCCATTGAGTCTTATAATTTTAAAACACATCAATATAGGTTAATAGATATTAACTTATATACTGAACACATCTCTCATGCTTTGTCGACGTGAAATTTACTTAAGAGTATCATATAAAACTTATTTGAACGAATAGCATATTTATATGTAATTGGCGTATTGGTGCTCAGTATTCACTCTTATTTTTCTATTTTAATCTATCATTTTCAAATTTACGAAATTTATTGGTTTTTAAAAATAGTCAAGCTCAAGTAATCAACAACTTGTAACCTAGGACCTTAAGTGACTTTAATTGGATTATAACTTGCCATTAGGCTTGGAATCAACCTTTGTCACCTTTTTAGGCAGCTTTATGCAGCTTGCTCTTTAATTTCCTTT